CCATTTCTCCAATTTGTCCAGATCATTTTGAATTATGACCCTGTCCTCCAAAGCAGTTGCAATCCCTCCCAGATTGGTATCATCTGCAAACTTAATAAGCGTACCTTCTATGCCAATACCTAAGTCGTTAATTAAGATATTGAACAGAGCCGGTCCCAAAACAGACCCCTGCGGAACCCCACGTGTTATGCCTTTCCAGCAGGATTGGGAACCATTAATAACAACTCTCTGAGTACGGTTATCCAGCCAGTTATGCACCCTCCTTATAGTAGCCCAATCTAAATTGTTTTGAGTGTGGCTGAGTAGTTGTTCCCAGATGAGTCCTCAATAACAGCTGGCAGCTCTGATGTTGTGTCACCTGGATGAGAAACATGGGACTGAGAATCAGAAAACCTGGGATCTAGTGTCAACTCTACCACTGACTTGCTGTGTGACCTCCGATAAGTCCTGTAGGTCCAGATTCTGATACCTTTACTTTGTGGGCTGGCCCCTCCCTCCATGAGTTTCTCTATTGGCTTCTCTCGGACGAGCTGAGGAGGAACAGAACTCTCCAATGTGAGTCAGGGTGTGAGAAAGTGGCGCTTGACCTTTTGGGGCCTTAATTTCTTTGTGTGTGAAATGGGGGTAATGATACACAGGAAGGGAAGGATTTTGAAAATAATGGACACTAGACAATAATTCCTGTATCTGAGTCCATTGCAGCCCTGGTAGCACTGAACATTGTGAGTTCCCCTCTTCAGGTCATTCTAGTGATGCCAGTTGAAACCTCATGCTCCCTTTCTTTTAGAAATGGACACCTCTACATGCATGAGTGTGTGTGTGTGAACACGCACAAATTTCTGTCTTGAAATTTTGGGCCCAACCCTGTTCCCATGTAAGTCAATGGGAGTTTTGCCATTGACATCAATGGGGGAAGGATTGGGATGTTTTCTTCTGAAGAATGTCGATGGAGAGTTTTTCTTTAGGGCTAATTTGCTGGCATTGAGGTCTTTCTTTCTTTCTTTCTTTCTTTCTTTCTTGTAAACAACTGCATTGACATACTTATTATGGGGAGAAAACCCCAAATAAGGATTTACACAGATTCTATAAAGAGAGATTTTAAAAAAGCTCACATTTTGGCCTCGGTGCCCATTTAAATCAAGATTTTTATGAATCCATGTGCATAGTGCATCTTTGAATACCAGCTTCTACTTTTGTTTTGATTTCTGATTGACTGATACAGGTTTAACAATCACAGTGGCTTTATTTGTACTGTCTGAGAAGTTTTGCTAATTATTTTGTTACAGACAACGGCGTTATATCTAGGAAGCACCTTGAAAACAAAGCGCAAAGCCAGCAGGTCAGTGACGTCCCCATTGTGATGGCGTGGTGCTGCAGGGAGCTGCATTGCACTGCATGTCACAATGCAGAGCTGATGCAGAGTGCTGCACTGAACTGCACGAATCCTGATAAGGAAACTCAATGGCCTCTTCTGAACATGTGATAATTGAATGCAAAGAAACCTTATGTTAATGCAACATTAAGGAGAAGAATCTAAAAATGCACCAAGGTCAGAAAATAATGAAGCTACAGTCCTCACACCAACGTTAACTGAGCCGAAC